AAAGTGAAGAGATTCAGGTGCTACATACCTGTGATAAATGCATTTGTTACATGTTGCCTTCATTGATTCAAGAATCTGTTTATATTCTCCTAACTAACATCTTCTAAATTGGTTAGTTTGAGAGATGGCAACTCTGTGATTGTTCATTGGCAGCTTTCCACTTGTTCCAAGAACAGTTCTCTTGTTGAAAAGCTCAGTACAGGAATTTCCTTATGGTCGAGGCATTAGCATCTGTGTAGACTGACATGGAAATTAGCAAAACCTGTGAAATAAAGATAATATGAGTTATCTTTGCTGCATGAAGTCTTCTGAAGGTTTGAATCAAAACCTGTGAATTGGTACTTCATCAGGAGGTAAAATAAATTGAACTGACCTTTATAAAAAACAGTTATTCTGAGCTATTTTGCTAGGAATCAAACTAGGGCACCTTAATTCTGGAACTATTATTTTTTTTCCTCCTCCTCCTTAGTATCTGAGTAAACACCAATAGAACTTGAACTGTTGAAGATATTTGCATGAAATTGCACCTGGGCCAATGCTCAATGTATTTATAGTTTTGCCCAGCAGCTGTTGTATTACATTTTCCTCTTCCTGCTCCCTTCTGAAAATATCCTGAAGAGTCTCTGACTCTGTGCCTACTTCAGCAATGAGATTTTTTTCATGTAAAGATGTTTGTGTTACTGTTTATAAACTACAGTTGTAAATAAACCAGTACAGTTTGAACATAACCCATTCTGTCAGAAACCATTTACTGGCATGCTGTTTGAATTCACTGAACCAATTAACAGTGCTGACATTTTGTGAATGGAAGCAAATTTGATCTTCAGAGTGGAAGAAGCTGATTATTGATCATAGGGATCTACTGTCAGTGACATCTTGAGGTAAGTATTTTGGAATTTAGACTTTAATTTCATGAAACACGTTTGAGTGAGCTATAGTAAGCATTCCTAGAAATGTCAAAATATAAAAGGGGTCTCTGCATAAATTCTAAACTTCTCAGCATCATTTTTTTTACGTTATGAAAGTGTTGACAAAATTTTCCTAGGCACTGAGGGGCAGGGTGGGGAAGTGTGAAAAGTACACCCAGCTGTTAAATAGGTGTATTTGGAAAACGTGTATGCTTCTCCAGGGACAACAAATACAAACCTTTTAGATCTACAATAAGACACTTCTAAAGTATCTTCTGTGTAGAAATTTATAATTCAAGCCACTAAGAGGGTAATTATTTGTAATTTTTAGGGCAACATGAAATTATCAACAGGCTCCTTACAAAGGTCAGAGCAAACTATGAATAATTTCAATAGTGTCTTGTGTATTTCTACCCCCAATTTATAGTGTGCCTATCTGTAGTATTTGTTACAAAACTGGTATTGCTAAGCAGAAATTCCAGTTATAATGCTGGAGTGACAGTTTTTTGAAAAGAAAAAACACTCTGTGCTACTTCCTGTCCCCTTCATCTTCAATGAGTTTTTAAAAAATTATTTACAAGAGATTTGCAGGCTCTTGTGTTTTTTTTCTTGCACTGCTGCTTGTATTGTTGAATACAAGATGACAGCTGCTGTGTTGCTGGAGTTTTAATTTTTATTTATTTTGGTGATAGAAATGAGGTCTCTAGCAGGAAAGAAACCCCTCAGAGTAACCTCTCTGCCAAATTGAAGCTCTTCCTTTCGTGTTTCATAGCCAGGCTCAGAGCTTCTGTGCTCACTGGTGGCTCTTCACTTGTCTCACAAATCCTTTCAGATTCTGATCTGCATGAGGTTTTGTACAGAACTTTAGATATATTACCCACCAAAATTACTCTGGCTGTGGAGACACAATTTTATTTACATTGCCTTCTCCAGATAAGTAATTTTTTTCTTGCTGTTCTTTCTGTTTAATTCCTTACATATGTATCTCAACAGCGTTGGTAGCTTTTCCTTCCAGCTGCATTTTGGCTGAAGTTTTTCACGTTCTGATGCTGTCAAGTAACTTTTTTCAATATAGGTGTAGCCTGTCTGATGCCTGAGCAGTTCCCCCGTTGCAGGGTGGATGGAGGCGATGGTGTGGAACTTTGAATGCAGTTAGTGCTTTCAGGTGCTCTGGCTTTGCACCCTTGAAGCAGACAGTGTATCTCTCAGAGCCACGGCAACACGGGATCCCTGTGGCCTCCCCTGGGGTCACCGAGGGGGGACAGCGGCGGCCTCGGGTCCTCCGCCCTTCCCGCGCTGCCCCCGGGACTACATTTCCCGGCAGGCTTTGCGCGGTAGGTTCGCGCATGCGCTCGGGGGGGCGGTGCCGGG